TTGAAGATCTACCCAAAAGAAGAGATTTCATGGATGAAATCAAGGGTGAATCAAGGAGAAAAGATGTAGGAACTCGTTTATGGAAGGATTCACTTACCGGTTTGAAGATTTGGAGCAAAACTTTAAGATCCTTGAGAGAGAATTCGAGTTCTAGGCTTGGAAAAGTGAAGAGTGGCTGAAAAATGACTAAGGGTCGAATATATATGAGGGAGTTTACGGCCAGCCTGAGTTTACGGCCGTAAACCCATGACCTTGGCCGTAAACTCCTCTTTTGAGGGTTTATGGCAAGGTTGATGGTTTACAATCCCTATTGGCACTTCCATTCACTTATTCCTTTAATGTACTAAGCCCGGAATACTCAAATAGACTCTGGTTAGTGCTAAAAGTTAGTAGAAACGAGTCTAACTTTGATTGAATTTCATGGTTTGTACAAGATTGGAATTTCGGGTTGTCACAATAGTTTAGTGGCAAATAGATAATGAAAAAAAAGTTTAGTGACTAAATGTGAACAAAATCGAAAGTTCATTACCCTTTCAAGTTATTATCCATAGAAAGAAACATGTTCTATAAGTTAAAAAATACGAACAAGCTAGAACTTAGTCTCCATATTGAAGGAGATTGTATTTAAATGTAGTAAACAAGTTGTATGAATAGAATAAGACAAAATCAACGGGACAAGTTGTATAAATATTAATTAAATAACTATTATTATATATAAATATATAAATATATAATTTATTCACTATAATATAAATGTGGTGTGCGGTTTGTTTTTTTTTGGTTGGTGTATATATTAAAACAACCACACGGAAAATTTTGGGTATTTGCAAAACTATACACCCCACCATCGGTTTTTGTTTTCGGTTTCGATTTATGCGATCTTTTCGGTTTTAGCTCACCTTAATCATTATCATACATACTTATAAAGCTAGCATTTTTTCTTGAATCTCATGCATTTGAAACCCCCTTTTTTAACTTATTCAAACCACACTCATTTGAAACCTCATTTTTTAACTAATGCAACTCAAAAGTTTTCTTAATTATGATTTAACACTTAAAAGTTTTATAACTTATATTATGTTTAATTAGCATTTAGTGAAAAGTTTATTATAAAAAGGTCAATCTTTTGGGAAGACATGCATACAAATCATATACAAATTTCAGAAAGAAAACAAACTTAAAGGTTTTTGTGTTGGGTTGAGGTCTTATGAACCACTTTTGGAGATATGTTATTATATTAGAGCTTTTAATTTGTAAGTTTGTTATACTAATTCATTTTTATATTTTCTTTGTTTTTGGATTATTGTAATACAGTCGTTGTATATTGTGGTTTAATCGTTAATATATTGATCATATGTTATATAGGGCGATGTCGAAAATATTTAATTAAATATTTTAAATATGTTTTTTTTTGTTTTGTAATTGTAACGTTTCAAAAAGGGGGTAAAACACTTCAACCAAAATTCATTTAAAATCTAATATTTCAAATGCTTTTCAATAATGATTGTAAAAATTTCAACATGTGTTGTTTAATTGATTGATTAATAAAAATATTAATATTTTGAAACTCCTAACTCTTAAACTTATATTATTTAATTTGTTAGTTAACTAAAATATTTTTCCTACATAAAGATAACATTTTTATGTTTGGTTACTCATATTTGTTTATGTAATTAGAAAACAAGGTGTACATAGAATGACTACTTCAATTTCACATAGGAATCGATACCACTAGAGATGTATGTTGTCTTTAACCGGTGGCAGGAGATCCAAATACCCTTTTTAATTATTTATATTAATGCTTAGTAATATTTATTTTATATTCATATTCACCTTAATTTTTTAGGTACAAATTAAGGAAGAGGATTCTCGGCGCACCAACATAAAGTCAAACGTACGCCTTGCAAAATATGTAATTAAAAGTAAATATCATATTTACTAATCGACTTATTTTAAAACTCTTGATGACATTTATGTATAATGATATATTTTGTATGACTTCATTCTTAATTTCAATGTTTAATATTTGAAAGTTCATATATGAAACCTTGGATGTTTTGCTGTAATATAAATAGTGTAACACAAAGTTTATTAGTTCAATATTGTTTATTAATAGCTCATTCAAAACAATTTATTTCTTATTTTATCCAAAAAATATTATCGGACATTAAGAAAAGTAGATTGTATTAATATTATACAAAAAATTATAATATATATTGGATATTATAAAAGTAAAAGTAAAGTTTATAAGGTATGGACTATATTAGATAGTATCAAAATCTAAGTTGATGAATTTTTATGTTATTTAATAATTCGGTTAATGACCAAAACATGACTAAAAACGTAAATTTCAACATATTTATATATTTTCCCATAATTATTTTAACCACTTAAATGCATTCTTGCGCAACGCGCGAGGTTACGCCTAGTATACTTATAAATGAAACATTTTTCTTTTCACCACATTCATTTGAAACTCTCATTCATATTTCCTTTCACCACATTCATTTGAAACTCCCATGACTTTTCAATTTCTTTCTAATAATAATTATAAGTTGGTTAAAAATGTTAAATAAATATTAAACCTAAAGTGTAATCATATATAAACTAGATTTCAATATTAAAATAATATCTTTACTTCTACTTATAAAATTATGTTTTTTAACTTTTAACATATTATACTTAATTTATTAGTTTTAATATATTGTTGGATGTAAACCATTATCATTTTAAAGATACAGTTTTGGAACAATTTGTATAAAATACTTAAATTATTAATTTAAATATAACATTACACGTTCAACTTAAATATAAATTTTAGTTTAACTTAAACAACCCAAAGAATATTTTGTAAATAGTTAAAATTGATTAATTGTGGTGTCCTTCTAATAATGATTATAAGTTGGTTAATAAGGTTAAATAAATATCAAACCTAAAGTGTAATCATAAATAAACTAAATTTCAATTTTAAAAATAATATCTTTACTAATATTCTGCGCAACGCGCGGGTATTCCCCTAGTAATATATATGAGGATGAGCATTTGACCCGATCGAACCGAATCAGAACCGAAATCGGGGTATTCGGTCCGGTTTTCGGTTCTCCATTTCCCATTAAACTGGTTTCCGGTTCTTTGGTTATCGGTTCGGTTCAGGCCGGTTTCGGAATCGTACACGTCTTTAAAGAGCACACTTAATTGTAAAACTGAACCGAAACTAGGGTATTCAGTTTGATTCCCAAGTTCTCTATTTCCCATTAAACATGACCGGTTTTGAAGGGAGCCAAAGTGGATAGCTGTAGCTGCATAGGGCCTAAATTTTTTAGGGGCCCAATTTTATTTTTATATATTATATTTGGGCACAATCATAAGTGATAGTCCAGACTCTAGAACTGCTAATCGACCGGTCCACCATGCACAAGAAGGCAAACGCGATACATGGTTAGTCATCAGTCATTAATGAATCAATCGATCAAAGTATCAGACTTACGCTCACAGTGACTGGTAGCATCTACGGAAAGAAGTTTTTCGAAATTGAAGTTTTTGAAATCTTACTTACGTTCCACAATGACCCAAGAAAGAGTTAGCAGTTTGGCGATGATATCTATCGAAACGAAATCGTAGAGAGTATAGACTAAAAAGAGTTTATCTTTGCTATCAAGAATGCTAGGAAAGCTTCATGTGTCGTCAATTAGCTGTTACGACATGTCATTACCCATTAAAATACAATGATTTTGCTGTCTATTGCTATAAAGTTTATCGTCGTTTAAAAAAAAACTTTAGTTTATATAATTTAATTCGTAACATGTTAGGGCTAATGGCCTTTCTTTTCGGCTTGTCATGAGCATTTAAATTCTCAGGAACGACTCTGCCACTAAATCGGTTTCCGCTTCTTCGGTTTTTGGTCCGGTTCCAAACCGATGTTCATCCCTATATATATATATATATATATATATATATATATATATATATATATATATATATATATATATATATATATATATATATACTTCTACTATAATAAATGAAGATAATTTTGCCTATCTAATGAGTTTTGACACTTGTCATTTTGTGATATTTTTTAAATAAATAATATCCACATGTCAATCTATGGTTTTTTTTTTCAATTTTTAAAATTAAAAAGTCAGATAATACTTATACTTATATATGTAAACTATCAAATGTAATAAATATTATATTAAATTGCAATTAATATGTTTCTTATTTCAAAATTTTATTTTAAAAAATACTTATTATTTACATTTTAATATTTTATTTTTTTAATCAACCCGTGTAATAAACGAGTTTTACACCTAATATATATATATATAATACAAATGAACCTTTATACCCTTTCAAAGCAACAATTACTTCTTAACTTCTATAACCGAAAACTTATAATTGCTACCCATTCATACCTAAATTAACTTCAACAAATTCTAATAATTAAGTCTAGCTTAATTTCCAACGGTTTGGAGGTATTCCTCACGCATCATAAATGCTGGAATTGGAAGCACTACAATAAACATCCACATTTTAACATCAATGTCCTCATAGAGTATGAGTATTGTTTGACTTGGGTCTAGTTTTCACATAAAAAAAGTGGTAAAAACCCTAACAGATTTCCCACTAACTTTTTGCCCTAATGAGTAAGTGGCACAAATTAAATCTCCTCATACCCTCTCATCCATTCTATTGTACCATTTCCCTTTTGTATTACCATTAGAAATATAGAATGCATTCGCATTTTCATCAACAATTTCAACGTACTTTGACTTTTATAAAACTTCCAAAGCCAAAACCCCACGACTCTCCTTCAGCATAACCAACTCTAAATTATATTATATAAAATAAAATACTCTATTATGATGAAAACAATATCACAATTCACAAAACAAACAAGTATTTTTCTAGTTTATAATAGTTGAAAATGAAGCAAAAGTCCAAATCCAAAAAGCATCCCAGGAAATCAGTTCTTCAAAAGAGGAAACCTGACTCCAATATTACCCCAAGACCCAAGTGAAAAACAAAAGCAATATATCAACAGTCCAGTCTATAACTAGTTTCGGTTTTTCTCCATTGAATTCGAAAAACTCGACCCTTTTCACATCACTACTCAAGATTCTCCTTGTTTTAGCTTCACCCAACCACTGGTATTTTCCATTAAAATCCTAGATCAATAAACAAAAGCATAAATTTTTCATATGAGGTGCGAAAATCTACAGTGGTGTTATGAATTCTTGAAAAATCTATTTATTGGCTCATTTGCTTTGTAATTTAATATGCACAAAGACTGTGACACATAAAAAAAGACAACCAATTGACGTGAGAATACCTTTTCAATGTTCATCTTGAGATACTTCAGTTTGGGATAATATTTGAGAACTTGGTTGAAGTTATCCATGGTGAAGTCATCCATAGTTGTGCTTAGCACCAAAGTCTTCAGATTAGGTAGAGAAGGATCATGTGCAGCATCAATGCACTACAATAATGATAATGATTTGATGAAAACCAATGATACTTTCAAAGAGTATAGATAATTTAACTACCAATGCCATCAATGTCATCAAGTTTTAATCATGATTTGGGTCAACTCTTTTACTTTTAAATTCCACTGCAAAAAATTTTAACCTAACCAAAATGAATGAATGAGGATAAAGAGAATGCGCATCTAACCTTACTGAAGAGGCAAAGGTCGATCCACAAAGATTCCACACACGAAATTCCAGGAAACAGCACGGATATGGTGTTCCCCGCCAATTTAGGCTCAATCACAGCTTGCTTCAAGGAGTCTAGACGTTCATTGAAAGAATTACACCTTATATGACCTGTTAAATCCAAATCCACCAGTTTTGGGCAAGAAAGCTTAATGTCACAACAGCGCCCATCTTCATCTTCACAGTCAATACTCAGCGTCTTGAGCTTCGGACATGAAATACAAAGAAGATCAAGTTTGCTTAGCACACAGTCCGACAAAGACAGATCCTCAAGCAAATGGCAGCTTGCGAGAAAATCTTTTACCAAAACTCTGTCGTCTAATAAGTCAACATCGGTCAATTTAAGAACCCTAAGTGCCAGAAACCCCTTAAACTTCGGCAAACTTAGACCACGACTGCTGATATAACTTCCATGGAAACTTAATACTTCCAACGAACTGCAAGTCACTAAACAATGGGGAAATTCGATTGCTTTAGTCTCGTCCTTAGGATAAAAGGACACGTCAAGTTGTTTAACGTTTCTGTTGACTGCCATATGAATCCACCGCCAGACTGTTGACATACTGTAGTAATCATCACAACATAGACGAAAACTATCCAAATCTACGGTTTTGTTTGCTAGAACCCAATATACAAACTCTTTGAATTTGGTTTTTTTGAATTTTTTTCTGTAACGTATATCCAGAGACGGAATTGCAGTCCACAAATTCCTCCATCGTCTCGACAAAATGCTGCTTCGGATTGCTTCTTTTGTGGATGGAAGACGTGAAAGAATCAAAAGAAGAATAGCATCTGGCATGTTACTGATCAAATCGACCCCATCTTTGCGTTGTGATACCTTTGATCGCTTGGATTGCTTCATGCCTTTTATCTGAATCAAAAAGTATTCAGAATTGAATGAACTCTTTCTGTTTTCCGTTTCATAAAGGTGACAATTTTTCAAGATGATATAAGGGTACTTTTGGAATCGAATTTGTTTTAGTTTTTTAAAGAACCAGCAAAAGAAACCCTTAAAGCCCAATTGTTTTTTTTTTTTTTTTTTTTTTTTTGGACAATGACTTGAAAGGGTAACGAACTTTCGACTTTGTTCACTAAACTTTTTTTTGTTATCTATTTGCCATTGAACTATTGAAACTGTTCACATTTTACTCTTATGACCGGCTGTTACCGGTCATAAGGGTAAAACCGGTCATAAAGGTAAAATGTAAACAGTTTCAATAGTTTAGTGGCAAATAGATAACGAAAAAAAGTTTAGTGACTAAATGTGAACAAAATCGAAAGTTCGTTTCCCTCTAAAAAGTTCAATGACTAAATGTGAACAAACTTCCTCTTGTATTATGTTTTAGCAAATTATTTATTTTTGTTAAATTGTAGCACATTTGTTGACGAAGAAATCTATGAAATAAAAAAAACAAAACCCTGAAAATATATTTAAAAAAAAAACAAAAAACCGAAACCGAAATAAAAAACCAATGGTTTGATATTTTCCAAAATAAAAAATCAAAATTTCCAATCTGATTTTGGTTTTACAAAAAAAATGAACCATTCTCACTGATGTGAATTATGACCATTGGTTTGGCATGCGGAATTAAAGAACACACAAAGAACACGGTGAATTGGGTGTTTAAGATATGCATTCGATTATGAAAGGTGTTTACAAAAAAAGATCTAGATCTAAATCTACATAATTAACACACACTAACACTCTCAATGTTACATCTGTCAAACACACCTCTACATGTGGTATGAAACCACCTTATATAGAAATGTTTACATGTCTCTCTCTCTATCTCTCATGTCATAAAGGGGGAGTTTTGGATAGAAAATTCTGAATTGAGCGCTTTCTCATTCCCTTTTTGGTTTTATAATCATTTTTCGATTATAAAAAGGGGGATAGATTTAGATATGGAAATCCGAAAGTTGAATTTTTGTAAAAACCAAAATCAGATTGGAAAATTGTGATTTTTTATTTTGGAAAATACCAAACCATTGGTTTTTTATTTCGGTTTCGGTTTTTCGTTTTTTTAATATATTTTTCGGGGTTTTATTTTTTTTATTTTATAGATTTCTTCATCAACAAATGTTGCTACAATTTAACAAAAATAAATAATTTGCTAAAACATAATACAAGAGGAAGTTTGTTCACATTCAGTCATTGAACTTTTTAGAGGGAAACGAACTTTCGATTTTGTTTACATTTAGTCACTAAACTTTTTTTCGTTATCTATTTGCCACTAAACTATTGAAACTGTTCACATTTTACCCTTATGACCGGTAACAGCTGGTCATAAGGGTAAAATGTGAACAGTTTCAATAGTTCAATGACAAATAGATAAGGAAAAAAGTTTAGCGACTAAATGTGAACAAAGTCGAAAGTTCGTTACCCTTTCAAGTCATTATCCCTTTTTTTTACAAAGAATCCAACAAATCATTAGCTAAAATAGCAAAAAGCCAAAAAACCCCTTAAAAAACACTTTAATAGCCGAGCCACTAGATGGGCGTGTTCGGCATTGAACGTTTGAGAGCTTCTAGCTTCTAGCGTTTAACAAAAAGCTTCGTTTTGAAGAGAAAACATCGTTTGACACTACAAGCTTCTAGCGTTTGGTTTAAACAAAACACTCCAAATCCAAATACTATTTCATGTAACGTTTAACAAAACGCTACAAGCTACATGTTACCCGCTACCAGCTAGTTTTGCCGAACACGCCCGAATTAGGAAACCTTCCATAGGAGCAATGGCGATTCCAACAATTTTTCTTTGTTCAGGCATTTTTGAATCTTTTCAAAAACATAAAACACCATTCAATTAAAAATTAAAATAATTTGGGTATTTATATTTAGTTATTTTTAGCCATTGAGGGCATGTATCCTGACTCCCAAAGCCTTAAATATGCGGGAGCATGGTGTAGCCTTGTGGGCCCGAGTCCACATTGCCACATTGCGTAGGGCCGATTGAGGTATGCCTAATAACCTAAGTGAAACATTTGAAAAGACAAAAAGGCCCTTGTGTGGGGGTATCAAGCATATGGTAATGGACAATATTCAATTGTTTTAAGGGTATTTTAGACATTTAACAAATAGTCATTCGGGCAACGTATGATGTGGTTCATTCTGTTGCAGCAGACCACGTGGTAAGAGGGAAGAAGTTGAATTGGAATTATCTTGTACATTACATGACTTGGTTGAACCACAAAATGATACTTATACTCGTAGTTCTTACACAAAATTACCTACAATCATAAAATAATTGATTGTTTTAAGATGAACATGTAGAAGAAAGGATATGAAAGATGAAATCTATCTAAATATATAGTTAAATGCAAGAAACAGAAACAGATTTCCATTTATTTGTGTATTATAATTTATAACATTCTATTTTTATTTCTTTATATTAAAACACTATACCTTCATTTTTTTTTTCTTATCAATGCATTAGACGTTGACCGTTTATATATTTTACTTCCAATTTTTTTTTATAAGGACAGTATAGCATTTAATTATATTTAAATAATAATGTTATAATTTGTATATTTTTGAGGGGCGTAGCTAAGTGTGTAGAAGGTAGGTCCTAGGACCTACTTTTTTTTAATTACAACAAATATATATAGAAAATATGAAGGACCTATTTCATTTTTGCTAAAAGACCTACATTTTTTTTGCTAAAAGACCTATCTATTTCAGTTTTATTTACATAAGGAACCATGTGGTTTTTGGTTCTAGATTCATCACTGATATTTTTCCAACTAAAATGTTAAGATAGTAAAATCATAGGAGGCGGATATAATAAACAAGTAATTGGAAGAAGGGATATGAAATATGAAATCTATCTAAATAAATAGTTAAATGCAAGAAATAGAAACATATTTTCATTTATTTGTGTATTATAATTTATAACATCCTATTTTTATTTCTTATTGAAACAATATACCTTCATTTTTCTTATCAATGCATTAGACAGTTGACCGTTTATACATTGTACTTCCAGTTTTTCTTATAAGGACATTATAGAATTTAATTATATTTAAATAATATTGTTATAATTGGTATATTTTTCAAAGTAAAATGTTGTGATAGTAAAATTATAGGAGGCGAAAAAAATAAACAAGTAATTGGAAGGATGTTGCTACATTTTGCATTTAATCTACCTCTCCTAATAAACGAATCCTAAATTGCCATTGTCAATTTTTTAATACCTTTAAATGCCACATGTCCTTTTCATATTCTCCTGCCTTTTGGTTTCCCGCCTACTCCAATTTCATCCATAATAATTATTATGCAAGATTATATCATAATTTGAAATTGATTCTATCCATCACTGTGATTGTAACATAATTATACGAATTTTCATCTACTAATCAAATTTATACGCTCCTATTTTCTCTCAAACCCTAATCTACATTCAAATTTAAAACCATCTCCACTTTTCTCTTGCTCTACACTAATCGGAGCCAAACCCCTACCGACCTCTCTCTTTCTTCAACATGAACACGATGCTTAAAATCAAAAGCTCACTTCCCATGGTTATATTTGAGTTCAGACGATTTTATTTCTTTCGTCTATGATTTCAACTTTTTATGATTTTGGTTTCTTGAAGGTGTCCCAATGAACCACAAGTGAAAGCGCCTTGAAGAATTTTGGGAATTCTTTCACAAAATTTTGAGGTTTGGTTATTGTACTTTACATGTATACGAAAGTTTGTGTTCAAGCTTTTTTTTATTTTATATTTTTTTGATTCCCTTTCTGTGTTCAAGCTTTTTTTATTTTCTTCTTGATTTTACGGTCATGGATTTTCATTTGCCAACCAAGTATGTAATCATCTGCTTTCTTGATGAGAATGAGAGGCACATCGATTACATATAATCCATCTGAAGCCGTTTGATTTTAACGTCGTTAATAAAGGTATTCTAAGTTTCCTCGTCTTGAAACTGAAAGGTTTGTTTTAGAACCATAATTTTGATTTTGATTTAAATGTCAACATACTGTACGCGAAAGATGTGACAACCCGGAACTGACATCACGAAAAACTAGTCAACTCAACCAATGTTAAACCCGTATCCATTGTCTTTTGGCACTGATTAAGGGCTCATTTAAGCATTTAAAGCCTTGAGTACAACCAAAGTTTGAATTAGGGATGGGTTGGTTTAAGATTTAGGGTTGCAAATAGGCCAAACACTCCATCAAAAGGAGTGTGTGGCCGCACACATGAGTGTGTGACCGCATACCCGAGTGTATGGCCGCACACATAAGTGTGTGGCCGCACACCCGAGTGTATGGCCGCACACACGAGTGTGTGGCCGCACACCCATCCTCCAGCCGCACACTCATCCCTATTTATATAGGGTGACCCCTTCACTCATTCCTTTCATTTGGCTGCACTCTACTTTCTCCCTCTACTTTCTCTCTCTAAAAACTTCATCCAAGAACGCTCTCAAGGCCTAAAAAACGTGAGTTTTCCATCACCTAGCTTATCATACATGAAGGACCCATTGATCCAAGCCCCTAACTGTAACATCCCAAAATACGAGCCAAAAAATT